AATGTGAATGACTATATATATATATATATATTATTAAATCAATGAAGTTACAGAAAAATATTTGAAGAAATATGCTCAGTATTATATATCAGTAGAAACATTGTTAAAAAATGTAGATATGTTTAAAACAAATATGAATGATAAGATAAATCCTATGTCCCATTAGATTTTCATTTCATTGAAATCAAAGAGAATAAAATATTTTTCTAAGTACTTCATCTGCTATCATGGGATGCAGTTTACAAAGTTTTGCTTTGGATTTATGCATTAATAACTGATTTTTATTTTTATTTTAAAGGCTGAATCTTCCAATTTCTTTAAAAGAAATGAGTTAGACTATTGCTTGATTCAAAATTATTATTCTTAAAATTTTAAAGAAAATTGTCTCAAATTTGCCAATGAAAAAGCTTAATCATTTTTAAAGAGTTTGCAAATGTATTTTCAAAATTTTAATAAGCTTTTCGAACTTTCTTCAGACCTGTCAGTTTTTTTCTTGAGTTTGGTAAACCTTTACTTGTATTTGAGGTTGCTTTAATTTTTTTCTAAACTTTTTTTTTTTTTTTTTTTTTAATATCCTCCAATAAATATTTGGATTAAAACAGGAATCAAAATTTTAACTTAATTGATAAAGCTTTAAAGTTTATATGAAAAAATATATCCATATAGTAGTCTTGTTAGAATTAAATATTAAATTTAAATCTTACCAAAAACAATTTTTTTATGGAAAACGGCTTCTTAATCTGGACAAGAACTTTTTGGAACTTTCTCATTGTATTCCTAGTTTTAAATCAGTATTATTTGAAAATATTTTAAAAAAAGTAAATATGAGTGACTCATTGAAACAAGTGCAAATGTGTATGAAAACAAAAAATGTTACTATACCAAATTTTTCCTGTAAATTTCAGTAGTGTACTAGTGTATCAGTATGTTACTTTTCTGTTTATCTTCAGATCTGAGGTTTGAATCAGAACAGGTTTCACTTAATTTTATGTTTGCTTTAGCAAAATAAAATCCTCCAACCAATAGAAAAAAAAAACACTGTTTTTTTATATAAAAAAAGATTACAATCTAGCAAAAATACTTGTTAATTCCATCTACTTAAAACTAGATATTACAACCAAAGATTTAAACAACATAAGTTCTCAGGTCATAAAAAACACACACACACACACAAAATGATTAAAAAAGAAATTGATAATTGGTCAGATTTTAGCAAGGTTGAGTCTAAAAGCTTTTCAGTACCTTATATATAGCACTTATATTTAGACAACAGTTAACTTTCTCATTATCAATTTAACAACTTAAAAAAAATAAAAGATACATCGTATATCTGTTTTAGAAAAGCATATTTTGAGGTTGAGAGAGAGAAAACAAAAACAAACAGTATATTCAACCATATCTTCAGTTGAAATCTGATGCTCAGCCTCCACCCATCATTGTTCTTTGGTCATACCTTAATATTTAGATACCTTTAACTTTTTTTTTTTTTAATGTTTCTTATAAACTAGCCAATATGCTATATCTGTATATTTATATATGTGCCTGTAGAAATGTGATGGTTTACAAGTTAGTCTCAGATTATTGCTATTACAGAAAGTTTAATCTTTACTAGCTACAATACTGCATAGTCCTGAGAAACAATTTTAGTTGAACAATATCCAGGCCACATTTTAGGTTTGAAATCTTTTTTTTTTTTTGAAAAAAAGTTAATATTCTATATTCCCATAAATTAGATTTGCACAAGGATTAGAAATACTAAACTATGCCACAGTTGATTTTAATCTATTTTTATGCATATATTGAATTATGAAATTTTAGAAAATAAATATCTAACATCACCATCTTAACCATTTGTCAAAGACAGTGCTTTAATCTTAACCATTTGTCAGACAGTACTTTGATTTTCTATTTACTATTAATTTTAAATTAACCAATTGTAAAAGTTTCTTTAATTATTATATCAGAAAAATTATATATTAGAGGCATCTTTGTGAAATGCAGCATTGTAAAATTTTAGTTATAATATAACTTTCATTAAACATACTAGAAGTTATATTGTATATAACATCAAATATATTCCAAGGCAGGCTGAAATAATAAAAGCATCAAATTAAATCATAGTGAATTTCAGTGTACATTTTAAGTCTCAATCAACAATGAAAAAGAAAATGTGTGAAAAGGTACCTTTGGTATTCACTGGAATAAAAATAAACCGCATTTGAAATGAAAGGAAAAAAAAGGAAGTCAGATATGAGAAAATCTGTTTAATGATTCAAAAAGAGCTAATCTTTCTACACTTTTTTTTTGTTTGGTTTTGTTGTTTTGATCTTCCTAGTCCTATTTTTTTCTAAACTTGAACTGTTTCTAACTCAAAGTACAAAACGTATGTTTTAGCAATTAGAATGTTATCTGTAATTTACACCTATCAAGTAAATTAAAGAAACTATTGTTTACTTTCTTTCTTTTCAAAATCATCTCCCTAAAAGATAAAAAGAGTAGAAAATAATCAGAATCAAGTGGAATGGTATTAAGAGTCCCGTGAGGACAATTGTTATTTAGAAAACATTAAAGTCAGACTTATATCAGTTTCTTAGTGCATGGATTCTTACTTTTTTTTTATCTCTTTTTATACAGTAAAAAAACAAAAAAACAGCAAAATAATACAAACTTGTAAGACCAGACTATCAGCAAATGTTTCAAGTAGAATTTGAGTGTTGACACAGGTTTAATAAAGAGAAAGAACAAAGAAATAAAATAATGATATAACATATTTCAATAAGTAATTGGTCATATTATATAGAATGAATGAATGAAATGTATATGCCTATTTCATAAATTCTTATCTGATTATGATTTCATAAAGAAAAACAAAAATTACAGTTGTCTTGTAACAAGAAAGTGAGAAAACAACTCAATCAATACATGCACCATGAGCAAGTAAATAAAGTTCCACTCTTATAAGGGGTCCCACTTTACATATATAGTAATTACAATAGATCAATTAGAACACCTGAACAAACTATGTCCAAGAATGATGTTGGAAATTCATTTTGTAAAAGAAATAATATTCTGATAGAAAAGTAAACTATTAGGTGTCAGCATGTGAGAATGAATGCTTTTCGGCTGAAGTTTGCTTAAGAAACTGCAGTATCTTTTTTTTGTAAATAAAGCTTACATATATGCATGTGTTGAGAGAAAATGTTGGAGAGAAAGCATTACATTTTGCATATGTGTGTGCGTGCATACATAAGCATATATGTGAATAGTTTTGTGTTTATGGTACAATATCACTTTTTTAAACTCATTTTAATGCTACTTTCTAATATTTTTTCAGCCTATCTTTTATTATAAATTGATTTTGTGTTTGTGCTTATATATATATATATATATAAGCATGCACAAATATTACAAAGCTGATTAAAAAAAAAAAAAAAAAAAGGAACAGTGCTTATCCTTACTGACAGAATATTAGTGATTAAGATAGATTAAAATACAATATGTATTTTGCTTTCTATTCTGACATTTTCTTTTATAAGAAATTGATTTAAGCACTAACAGAAATAAAAGTAACTTGTAGTGAGGATTGGTACTTACATTATTCATGAAATGTTTGAATAAAATTATTTTAGAAGTGGAAAAAATTATAAATCTCTTCTGATGTAAATTAATAGATTGGTCTGGAATGAAAAAAATCATTTTAAACATCTGTACATTTAAAATTGTAATTGTTTTTAGAATTTTATCAATTTTACAAGGTAAACTTTGAAAAAAAAAAAAAAAAAAAAAATTTTACAAGGTTACTTTGAAAAAAAAAAAAAAAAAAAAAAAAAAGAAAATTAATCTGAAAAGAGTGGATTAATATTTCAGAGGTTTTGTTCATTTTAAAAGCTGTTTTAGTTTGAGATTAACTTTTCTAATATTTATCTTTTACAGGAGAGAAAAAAAAAGAAGCACAATAGAAGTTCTTTTGAAAGGATTAAATTTAAATGATTAGAGGGACTTTCAAAACGGGCATGTCTAAAATTTAAGGATTAATATGCCCAAAGAAAGCATAACATCAAAAACTGTAAACTCTAAAATAAAACTAGAATAAATAACTTGTTTAAATGAAGATCAGCATCCTGCATATATGAATGAATAAGTATATATTCACCCACATAGACAGTCATTTGTAGAAGCCACAAAACTTGACCAATCACAAATACTAAACAGATTCTTTAACTACGCTTTATTTCTCTTGCATTCATTGTAAACCTCCATAAATGGAAGAGTAAGCCTTTTCAACATTCTCAAAGCTTGGAAAAATACATTACATCAATCAATAAATACATAAAGAAAGAAATTAACTACTTAAAAATGGTCCAACATAACATGAAAACTTAAACAGAGTTGACAAAGATGTTTGCATTCTACTGCTTGACAATATATTTTTTGCAAGAAAATTAAGGGGGGGGAGAGAAAAGCACTTGTGTAATACTTAGATTAAAAAAAATTCTTTAAGAAAACATTTTCTTGTTTGTATCTTGTTTTTCTCTTGTATAAGTTTTGGAACCTGTTATCTCTCACACTTTTTGGTCCATTTCTTTTTTTTTTTTTTTTTCTTTCTTCTATAAGTATTATTTCTTGATTTATATATTTTCATTAAACTTCAAACTTCTGATACAGAATGAGATAATTGTTTACAGCTTGTTTGAACCAACAAAATCTTTTTCACTGATACTGCTAATTTAAAATTTGTCAGTTTTTGTTTTCTTTTACCCATCTGTCTTGCTTTCAGTTCATTCTTTTCTTTGTTTTTTTTTTTTTTTTTTTTTTTATAATTATTATTATTATTATTATTTTGGCAATGCTGAAAAGGAATTAGTGTTTAGTAACTCATCTGCAACATGTGGTAAGTGAGTTTATCCCTTTTTTTTCTTCTTCACATTTCTCCTCTTCAAGGGTTACAAAATAGCAGTGCGTCACTAGTCAAAGTCCAAGTCCTAAAACCTTGTAATAAGTTAATCCACTTCCATAACTGGGTCTGGTTTCTCACCACCAGCTTGTGCAGAGCCTTCAGAAGATGGAGGTGGTTGTTGTTGCTGATTACTTTGTTCATTTGTTTTTGCATTAGGTTCGCTATCTTTTGGAGGTTCAACTTTAGGCTTCGGTTTATTTATAATAGGCAAACATACTGACTCGAGGTTGTAGCGTTGTGAATTGATTTCCGAGCAGCTCACTAATGGGTCCTCAAACATCTTACGTTGGTTCTGCTGGTTTTGGGTCCTCTCAAACCATTCAGACTTTTCCTTTAAGCACTTCTCAACCTTCTTTACATCTTGCTGATCAATATGGTTATACCGCTCATCCTTTTGCAAATAGAGATCCAAAAACTTGCGCACTTGTTGCAGGGCACTGCCAACGGCTTGAAAAGCTCCGGGGCGTTCCATGGCTTCCTGATATCTGTAACAAATTGGATCACCCAGTTTCTTGAGCGAAGCAAGTTTGTCAATATAGACCTGCTTCATCTGATCTTCCCCCTCATCATACAACCAATTTTCTACATCACTCAGGATATTGCTGAATTCACTCCGCTGATTTTCTTCAACATACTGTTCTAGGGGCCCGTAGAGACGGTCACGCATGTCATAAACATATTCCTCCACTGCATTTTTGGCATCAGCACGATCTTTCTCAAGCCTGTCTTGCATTATCATTTGGTTCTCCCTCTCAACACACAGCTGTAGTTCATCCTTGCTGAACTGCGGCACAATGCTTTCAACACGCAAATCAACCATTTTTATTTTTTTCATTTTTTTGTTAGCTGGTTCCTTTTTGTCACCTGCAGCTTGCTTGCCAGGACTTTCCTCTGTTTGCATTGGGGTGTCGGTGTCATTTTGATCAGCAGCTTTTGAGATATCTTGGTTGTCTGTCTCATCATCCTCATCTTTTTTGTCATCAATATCCATTGATTCATTACCATCAACATTGTCCAATTTCTCAACCATGGAAGCTGATGTTACATTAAATATTCCATGGTTGTTAATTCTTACTTTTACTTTCACCTTTGAACTCTCGCCATTCATTTGTGGTTGAATATTGTATATCTTAAAGGAGCCAATCATCAACTGTGGCAATATGATTTTTTCATTGGGGGAATAATGGGCATTTAGTTGGAATTCTTCTTTTCTGTAAAAAATTAACATCTTGGAGAAAGGGAACTGGTGAAAGCGTGGGAAAACTTCCATAGAATTATCCTCAGTGACACCACCAACCCATGTCATTGTAATAGCATAAGGCTGACAATCAGCAATTGAAAAGTCACGTACTCTGAAAGTAGGGGACAATATTGCACACTGAAGGGCACATCCTCTTGCAATGACCTCATCTGCATTAAGAGTTGTACTTGGCTCCATCCCAAATATTTTTTTCACAAATGCTTTGATGGCTGGAATTCGAGAAGACCCTCCTACAATCTCAACAGAATGAAGATCATCTAGATGTAATTTAGATTGACTTAAAATGGACCTCATAGTATCTTCTGCCCTTTTAAGCAAAGGCTGACACATTTCCTCAAACTGCGCTCTGTTCATAGTACCAGACACATCCTTGTCGTCCATAAAACATTCAATATTAAGAGGAACTGGTTGCGTAGTGGCACTCATAAGTTTTTTCATCTTCTCACATTCAGCCGTGAGTCGGATGATAGCCTTGGGTTTGGTAGTAACATCAATTTTGTACCGCTGCCTGAAATCTTCTATGAAATAATTACGCAAAACTCGATCGAAGTCGCGTCCGCCAAGAAAAGGATCAGACGACACTGCCAACATTTTTAGCTTGCCCTTATTAAAGGCACACACGCACACCTGGAGAGAGGTGTAGCCCATATTGACAAAGACAACGTTCCTGGATTTTTCCTTCTCCTCAGGTAAATCCTGTTTGTAAATACCGTAGGCCAGGGCCGCGGCGGTTGTATCATTCATTAACTTCAGGCAGTTGAGTCCGCACATGTAAGTGACGTCGAGCAGAGAACGCCTCTCTGCATCAGTAAAGTGTGACGGAACAGATACTACACAGTCAACTACTTTGGTTTTCAGGGCCGCTTCAGCAGTCTCTTTTAACTTCGTGAACAACACTGCAGTCATTTGCTCAGGCCTAAACGATTGGACATCGTTCATATAGTTCACTTTAATAATTACGTTATCGTTTCCATCCGACGTAACTGTATAAGGTAAATGCTTAATCGTTTCCTGGACCTGCGGGTCGCTAAACTTGCGGCCCAGGAATTGCCGGAATCCAAACACTGTGTTACGGAAATTGCTTACTGCCTGATTCTTTGCCGATATACCCATACATCTAGACTTTTCGTTAAAAGATATGTAGCTTGGAGTACACCTGTCACTGTATTCATTAGCAATAGTCTCTATGCCTCCGGCCCGAGCGACAGAGATGTAACATGACTGACTACCGAAATCTATGCCCACCACCGACATCTTTTTTTGTAATGCAGGCACAAAACCAAGTAAGTATCGACAAACACAGGCGGTTTTCCGTCGGGTCTAAAGCAATAAAAATAACCAGCCAACCTGTTTGAAAGATTCTTCTTTTCACCTAATCTCCGTCCCAGAACGATCTACCCGGTAGTTGTTAGATCTGTGGAAGTTTCTGGACGACGACGACACGTGAAACTGCTCCGCTAGAAAATTTAGTATGAAAGTAACTCTCCGGAAGTATGTCGCAGAGTTACCGTTCTTACTCGCCTACGTCATATACGTCATCATACGAACTGTAAAGAAAGCGCAACTGCTGATGTCGTTACATAAAAATACACTTCTACGGATAACCGCAGGTGCAATAAAATAAACATTTCGCTTTAATATCATTTTTCCTATTTAATCTCCAAAAAACAACATTATTTTAATTCCTATTCTTATTTAATGAGATGCGTAATTTCCTAGCTTCTATCTATACAGATGTGCACTAATCAATGATTAATTTAGAGAATAAACAGAAACATTTAAAATTAATTTTGAAATTGACTAAAAAGTTCCAAATCATTATAGAAGTGACTAGAAAGTTCTAAGTCATTTAAAACAAAATTCTGAAAGTTTAACTTATTTTAAGGCATTAATTCCTATAGATTAAAAAAATGTCAAAAGCAATTATTTTTTAATAAATTTCTACCACCTTTTCAATAACCTAGAAATTTATTCTCTGAAATCATTAAATTAAGGAAATATATATTATTTTTTCCAGCTGAGATAAATTACATGAATTGAAAAGATAGGTAGTACGTGATAAGCAATGTATATCACTGCAGATATTTTTTCAGGTAAAAAAAGAGAGAGAGAAAATATCAAAAAAATGGTTATAGAATGTTCAAAAATAATTTCACTGACCAATACTATAATATGCTTTTTTGTTATCATTTGCACATTTCTATTAAAATTTATTCAAATATTAAAACTATATTAGCTGTTTATTAGTTAATATTCTTTTGATATGATCATTTTAAGGAAGAGTTTTAAAATTTTAGCATCATTTTATTGCTCTTTTAATATTACTTTATCAATTAGAAATTATATCAAAGCAAAAAATATTCTATAGATAACCATTTTTGTTAATTTTATATGGGTTTGTATGCATGTTTATTTTTGTGACTGTAAATATATATATATATATATATATATATATTGAAAATAGTATGATAAATAGGAAAAAAAGATTTTTTGATGTGTTTCATCCATTAGAACTTCATCAGATGAAATGCGTCACAAAAACATTTTTACAATTTATCATACTATTTTCTCAATCTTGATATATAAAATATATATCATTATCTCATTCATATATATATATATATATATATATATATATATATATATATATGATTATTTATTTAAAAAATTATAATATAAATATGTTATAAAATCTTAAATTATAACATAAATATGTTATAAAATATTTTGTAGTGATTTTATAACATATTTATGTTATAATTTTAAATAAATAATTATATCTACTCTACTCTGTATTGAGCACTCTTTTAAGAATAGTAATTCTTGGTTATTGGAATTCATTCCGTATACACTAATCATATACTTATATATATATATATATATATATATATATATATATATATATATATATATATACACCATTAAAAAAAACAAAGTATTGATGAAACCAACAGAAAACTTGCTAGGTGATCCAAGAAAAACAACCAATAAAAAAGAATTAAAAAAACGATACAAGATTAAACATAAAATTAAACATAAACTAAGGAAAAAAAGACTAAAAGACAGACACCTATTTAAACAGCAATAAACAAACCAATTATGTTTCCTAGCATCATAACTCAGAAAGGGACAAAATTTGGACCACTACTAAGTTTCAAATTGCTATGGTCATTGGGTGACCAGACCACATGCGAGCACACACACACATCACACACGCATGCACATGTGTGTGTTTGTTTGATTAAAGATCAATGAAAACTCTTTGTTGAGGATTTTTTGTTCATTTTCTTCTATATTTCAGACCATTTTCACTGAAAACCAAGAAATATAAAAAATACAGAAAACATAAACAAAAAAAATTATTAACAAACAATTTTCATTAGTCTTTAACAAAACTTTTATATTTGCGCAGAAATTTTTCATTTATACAAGTTTGGTTAAAGACCAACAAAAGTTCTTTTTTAAGGATTTTTTAATTTATTTTCTATATAATTTTCTTGATTTCTGGTATATAAATTGTCCAATGTCTAAGTACTTCTGGCTCTTTAGCCATTATCAAAGACTTTTGTTTTTATTGTGCTATGTCATTTTATGAATTTTCAGATATTGTATTTCTGTGTGTTCACGTAACTGATCTTGTAATCAGTTTTTAAATTTATATATTTGTAAGTGTAAAAAGATATGTTTGCATCTACATGCATATAAACATATATTGGATTTTCTCTGAATGTAATACTTCCTATTTATTATTTTGGCTCATCACATCACAGGTAGATATTGGTGGCATAGTAGTAGAGGTTGAACCTTCCAGCCAATGGACCATATTTTTTACCTGATAGCAATTGAGCAGCAGTCTGGTAAAATGTTTGTTTAGTTTGAAACTTTTTACAAACCAAAAGCAGGTCACTGAATTCCTCCATCCAGAAAAAAATGAATCCATTGGCCACTTGCTGAACATTTACAAAGACCAAACAGTGGATATGAGCACAGTTAGGCAGTGGATAATGCATTTCAGCAGTGACAACAATGATATACATTTCAAATCATGTTCATGAGTGTAATATGCTGGCTGTTTGTCATTACTGGTGATAATGCAAAGCCAGTGATGGTGACTATGTGGAAAAAGTATTTGTTGGAAACCTGCTCTATGCAAAGCTATTATTGTATATCTGTTGAAGCTTCAATGTAAATAAATTGGAGGCATTATTTTCAGAACAATCTTCATGTGTGCATGTACACATAGGTGAGTATGTATATATATATATATATATATATATATATATATATGAAGAAACAATTTATACAAACAATTAAATAGCAATGTTAATGTGGTTAATGGCAAAATCACTTCGATAACAAGACTTATTATCAATTCCTTGAATAATAAGATCCTTATATTCAAGTTGTTGTCGGATGGAAAACACATGCTAAGAACTTTCAACAATTTCAAATTGTTATTTTCAGGGCACAATTTTTTCCATACATAGGAAAACACTAAAACAAAATAAGTGTTATTCACAGTTAAATATATCATTTAAAAAACATCATTTGGTCTATACATATTTCGTACTAATGTTTGCCTGTGTATGAAAAAAATTGCATCCTGAAGATGAAAATTTGGAATTATTGAAAGTACTTGGCATGTGTTTTCCATCTGACAACAATTTGAATATAAGGATCTTATTATTCAAGGAATTGATAGTAAGTTAATGTTTCATTAAATCTTGTTAGCAAAGTGATTGCACCATTAATCACATTAACATTGCTATTTAATTCTTTGTTTAAATCATTTCTTTATGATATAAAATATAAGTTGCACAATCTAATATATATATATATATATATATATATATATACACACACATGCATATTATTACTTAAATGTTATATTTTAGAGGATACATGTAATTTGCTTTTTTTAAACAATGTGAATTACATCTACTGGCCTGTGCATTCAAGACTCTTGCATAATTATTTTATTGGAAATTTGGGAATAAAATGAACTGACTCAAGAGTATTTCTAAATAAATAATATATTTTTATTTATTTGCTTTAGAGTGATTCCTTTGGTATTTGGTGTTGCAAAATTTTTGTTTATAAGGCAGATATTAGTAGCCATATGGAGAAATATCCATTTTGGCTCAGTAGTGGTGGATATGAAGTCAGACCTTGCTAGTGGTAGTAGTCAAATTAGAAAATATTAGAAATAGGTCAATGTCAATCTACTGTGTCAGCCCTAAACAGAGTAGAAATATGATTAGGAGATGACCTCTTCACTACTTCTTCATGTGTCATAAAGGGCTGATTTCTTTGGCAGTCACATTCTCTTGTTCTGTGGTTACTCTTGCCTTCCCATCTTCCTCATCTAGCTCAGAGGTATGAGCTTATATCCTTTTGACCAAGCTCTGAGACTCTAGTGTGAACATCAAAACCTTCATTGTGTTAAGTTTTTGATTGGGCAAAATTATTTTATTTTCCAGTGTTCCTTTCTTTTTCATTTTTTTTATAACAGCAGTTATGTGTGGAGCCTCCCTGATTTTTGTTAGTTTTCAGTCACAAATTAGTAGGGTCTGTTCCCTCAAATTTTCTTGAAAGCCCATATCTGCTAACAAAGTAATTTCTAAGAAATTAATGGTTTTTATTTTTAATTTGACATCATTTCTTATTATTTTAAATTAATTTTAGTTTATACCTGTTTTTCTTTTATTTTAAACAGTATGAATCACATCTGTGCATTCAAAAGTTTAACAAAGAAAAGGTGCTTGCAGACAGGGGTCAAACATGTGAGTTAAGTGATTTATTTTATTCTATATTCTATTTATAATTAGTGCTCTCTCTCTCTCTCTCTCCCTGTATATATATATATGTGTGTGTATATATATATGTGTGTGTGTGTGTATGTGTGT